GGATTATTTTCATTTAAAGCTTGAACCTTGTCGACCCTATCAACTTGCTGATAGGGGATCGAGTTTCATAGGTTTTATGCCTTTGTTAGTGAATTCTTAGTGTTATAGGCCTTGAAGGCCCAATATGAATGTATTAAAATAAATACATCGATCATCGCAACTGTGTATTTGTTTGAAGGTTTGAACCCTGTTGACTATTATTGATCTGCATAGAAGGATTGGGTTCGAACTTGAATTCACTTATTGACCAGCGTAACATCCCTAGTCGTCACGTGTGTACCAATAACACGCTCGCCGGGGCCCATGCAGGTGTTTGGGGGCATTTTTATAATTATTTGTTGAACATTGTCGACTCCTATTATTTGCTTAGGAGGATTGGGTTCAAATTTAATAACCCGCGCAACATCTCTAAACGTCACGTGTGTACCAATAACACGCTCGTCGGGGCCTATACGGTTTGTGATTATAATTACCCCTTGTGTACTTATGTGTATATAAACTATGGTGCAAGTACGGGGTATTCTTGGAATATTTGTAAACGTCTTCTTTCCGCTTGCATAGATATTGTGGATCTGGTGGCTTTTGTTCGTAAATTGTATGTAATATTTGTAGCGGGGCTTCAGGATATTGTATTTACTATAGTTTTTTTGCATCTACCCATAAGTGACATGTGGCAGGTACATCTATCTTTGTAGAGAGCTTGTATGTACTGCAGATCTTTATATTTGCTTCATATGTGATGCTTAGTGTGTACAACAGTCTCCTATAACGGCCCATAAGAGCCGGTGTACACCATACATCCTTCACCTTTGAGTCCTATGCAATTATCAGTGTAAACTTCGGAGATCTCTGATTCATCGAGAACTCACAAGCCTCGATAGTCTTATTCAACTTGACATTCAGAACTTGGTTGGAGTTGGGTTGTGTGGTCTAAAGGCCTCATACTATGGCTTTATGGTCAAGCTCTTTCTATCATAATCTTCTTCAATTAAAGATCATATTATACTTGCAATATACATGATGAACTTGACACTATTAATATTCTCAATTTGATTGAAGTAACGATATCTTGAATCCAAACGAAGATTTTCACTTAACACTTTGTATTCAAAGTGAAATGATGAATCCGCTAGAATTTTTCATCTTTCAAGAAATCATTCTTCTATTAACTGTGAGAGGATCACACTCCAACTTGCACTCATTTGTAGATTGCTTGGAATTGTTCAAATGTTGTTTCATAAAATCAAAATTTGATGCCAGGTGTTCCATTCAAATTTAAATCCTTTGAATCATCATTTATCATTTGCACTTGCTTGCATGTTGATGCTTGTTGCATTCATTATACATCCTGATGACCAGTGCATTTGTCCCAAATCAACTGATTGCACGAGTCTCATAATCACTTGTGAGAGAAATATCTCACATATGAATTACAATATTCATTAGAGTAGCCTTGTGTATCTATTTGTAATTTAGATTACACGTTCTTATTAACCAGTAATGGCATTTGAGTTGTTGTTGCTCATTCCATATTCAAGTTCAAATAAGGTTCAGGTCCATGTCCATGTCCAAGTTCAAGCTCTTTATACTCATTTGAACTTGAATCCACAAGTCTTCTATTTATCCCAATTATGAGCTCATGTTCAAGTGTATTCAGCCTTCTATTGTTTGACTTGAGTTCAGGTTCTTTATTGTTCATGTCAAGTTTAAATGAATTTCAAGATGAGTTTAGGTTCATTCATCCTTTTGAGTTTAAAACACAAATTCAAGTCCAAAACATGTTCAAATAAAATTCAGGCTCAATACGAGCCTCTTCCATTCGTCGAGTACACTATTGTCCTTTGAATTCAAATCATGTCCTTACTTATATTGCAAGTTCAAGTCAATTTCAAGTTCACTTGAGTTCAATTCATGTTCAAAGTACAAGTTTCAAGTATGAGTTCAAATTGAGTTCATTGTGGTCTTCTTGAGTCTAAACTCAATTCAAGTTCAAGTCTTTATGAGTTGTTCAGGTAGCAAGTTCAAACTCTTCTTGCTTGAGTTTAATTTAAGTCATTTGCTCATTTGATTATAATCATGTTAAGCTCCTTTTATTTGTTCATTTAGGTCCAAAGCATGTTTTCACTTGTTCAAAATTTGTTCAAGTCCTTGTCTTATTTCAGACAAAAAGTCGGCAGCCTCCCGGCGTCTTCCTCGTTTAGGGGAAAAACCAAGAGGCCGCCTAACCGCCACGTCAAGAAAGACGTGCACGGTTGGTGTTTGTGAGAAACCGCGGCGGTGAATTTTTTTTATCCACCACGCCAAGAAAGGCGTGCATTGGTTATTAAAAGCATTTTTAAGTAGTTTTTTATTGCCCTGCCATGCTAAGAAAAGCGCTCACAGGGATCGCCTACTTCGTTGTAAGCACCGCATCAAGTTCCCTCCCACCAAGCTAAGAAAAGCGTGTATGGGTGGTCCCATGGCGTGCTACGAACAACGAAAAAGAACTTTATGGGGGATTACCCATTTCGCCATAAGCACCGAAGCGAACCTCCTCCCACCGTGCTAAGAAAAGCGCGCATGGGTGGTTATTAGCCCCGTTGCAAATGCCGAGAGCAGGTTCTCCCAAGTTTAGGAGGTTATACCTTGGCGACCGATGAGGACGAGGGCACATGTATCGAGGCAAGGGAAGAACTATTTCTTATTTATTAATTACAACTAATCATAATTAAATATTGCTAATTATCATTAGTTAATTATAATTAATTATTTATAATTAAAATATAATATATAATAATATTTAATTAATTATCTATAATTAATTATAATTAAATATAATTAATAATGGATAACTAATTAATCACAACTAATTTAATTAAATATAATTAATTATAATTAATCATTAATAATAATTAATTATGATTAGTAGCAATTAGTCATAATTAACTATATTTAATGATAATTAATTATATTTAATTAAAATAAAATATGATTTAACAAAATTTCAGCATATCACAAGATTTATAGAACCGTAAAATCTCTCGACGAATTAAACCCCTCGAGCTCTCTTCCTCTGTTCAACAATTTTACGGGATTTGGCCAAAGAAGCGTGTGAAAGGGCATAAATTACCTTCACAGCAATAGCTCCCGTCGTTGTTTCCAATCAAAAGGTAGTAGCTTCCGATTCAATAGGAGGAAAGGTCGTTGAAGGAGCGAATTTAGACAGGGGGGAGGAGCTCGGTTTGCTGAGGCTCGCGGATCAGACAAAGGCACAGATCTGGAGTTCGGCGGGAAGGGAGGAATAGAAACAGGTAGGAGAAATCTCTCTCTCTCTCTCTCTCTCTCTCTCTCTCTCTCTCTCTCTTTCTCTCTCTATATATATCCGAATCAAATGAATCGCAAGGCTTGAGCTGGTTCGGCGTCAACCTAGGGCAGGGCTCGACTAGAGGAGAGGTCGGAGAGCTGAAGGCTTCGACGTCCACTTGAGGTTGGTCGGTTTGCTGGGAGAAAACGGCATAGGGAGTCGACAAGAAATCTGCGGCTATGGAGGAAGGAGGTAGGAGATGCGGTTGAGAGGTCGAAGGCTGAAGCGAAGAAAGATCTCTTTCTCCCTCTCTCTCTCTCTCTCTCTCTCTCTCTCTGTGGACGGAGGAAGTGAAGAGGTCGGGCAAGGGAGGAGGGAATGAAGAGATTGAGGGCTTGCTGCCAGTGGAAGGGGATGAATGAGGCTCTCGTCCTCATTTTATTACCACGAGCAGGGCTTCTTGATCGAGACGAGTGCGCGTGTTCAGCTCTGAAATGGCGCCGTTGCAGGATATGGGTGACTGTATCACGAGATATATCTGCAGGATTTGTTGCAAAGCTCCGATCAGGTAATGATTTAAGCTATATTATTTTTTATCTTACCCCTTTTTTTATATTATGGCAGAGGTCAACAAATTCATTAGCTAGGACACGGGTGTTAGTATTATATGTAGAATACTAAACCCACTATAGATTTAGATTTCAAGGCTACTACTATCAGTATCCTGTAGTATGCCTCATCGGCGGTAAGTCATTTATTCTTCAAAGGATATAAATCTCACCTATCTACGTCACATGGATGACTCCACCTCTATCTTTCTCTCTTGCATGCTCAGAGTGCAGTGTTGTGTTTCTCTAGTTTCTTTTTCCTACCTTAGCTCTTCCGGATGATGATATGAGCCGCGCATGTTGACCAAGCTAACTTAAACCTTTCCTTCCATCTGAATAGGTAGCTCCTAGACTCCTCCCTATGTGTCAATCTCATATGTGAGAATAATGTATAGTCCTTAATCGAGAGTCTTCTTAGGCCCCGATTTAAGATGTATAGTCCTTATGTTTGTTATCATTAAAATTCAACTTAGAGTCAGGTGGCTCATAGGATTAACAATAGTTACTCCAATTAGAACTCTGTTACTCACACCAAAAAAAATTAAGACATTGTCAAATCATTCATCAGGTGGATTGCTAGCTGCCCTTGCAAAATGTTAGTCATAGTTACTCGTCAGGAGATGTATGGTTTTCTAACGACTTGATTGTCAGGTTACTTTCATATTGTCTATTATGTATAATTATATCTTAAGATTGTGAAAATCAGGTGTCAGTTTAACCCAAAAAGATTTCTACCAAGATTTTGACGTCTAAATGGCCAGGCTTAATGACCAAAAAATTTAAGAGTAAAAGAATGGTAAGAATCCATGTCTGACCAGCATAGATAAAAGTAGAACATTTATAACAATAGCACTAATCAAACCAATTACGGTTGATAGATTCCACTAATATTAGAATAGCACCAAAACTTTAAAAGATGATGAAATGAAACATTTATGTTTGGCAGAGATGGTACTGAACAACTAATATAATATTAAGATTAAGAATCTGAAAATAAATGTCCAAGTAAAGCATGTGTATGCCTAGATGTTTCTAATTTTCAAGAGTGAAAAATACAAGGAACAAAATCATAGAAATTTAAATGCAAAATTCCAGGTCCTCCAACCTACCAATTCAGGTTGTTCTCTCTGAACTTTTCTCCCAATGCGTGCAGCTTCCTCAGGGCTTCTTGCAGACTTAATTTGTTCAATCAAACCCTTTGCAAGTGGATTATCAACGCCCAAAAACTTTTGGGCCTGCAAATCAGAAGCAACATGTAATAAGTTGTACTTTGCATCAGAATTTGCAGCCTCGTGATTCCCAGTAGACTTACCTAGTCAAAGCTTGATAGTTGTTGATGTACCTGATAGTAGTGTTCTACAGTAGGCCACATGCAAGGAACTCCAGTTTCATCAGGCATGATTATAGAATGTGGAGAAAAATTGGAAAATGCTCCAAACGGATCCCATGTCTTATAAAAGAATATAATTTTTGACTCGTAAGGAGAGACTGTTGGATCAAGAGCAGCAGTTTCATGAATCGATGGGATTACTGGTGACAGGTCTGGAATGGGATGAAGAAAGCCACTTACAAGAATGTCCGGGCCTATCTGTAATCAACAAGTTAAAAGCTAAGAAATAATCACAACATTAATGTAAAAGATAAAATAACATTGGACTGTCATTATACTGGTTGCCAAAGAACATGAGATTCCTTAATGCAGCAACCAGTTTGACAAGAGCCATTGGGGGTGTCTCTCCTAGTTGTTGGCGAGCTGTTGCGGGAATTTTTGGGAATGCCTTTGAGGCATTTATTAAGAGAAAAATGGAGCAATGCAAAATTATTTTGATCTTTCATAGTACTTCTTTGTTGAGTTTTCATAAGGGTAAAAAAAAGAGGTGTTCAACAATCAATCATCCTCGTGATAGGAAATATTTGAAGAATTCAAATCCTAACAAGAGAGGAGAAAAACAGCAAACAAACACGAATTTGAAAGTGAAATTTCAGCAAAACAGCACCTTGATTGAAGTAATTCAAATAGAATGAAGAAACGAAGCAAGATACAATTGATCCTTAATTCGAAAGGAGGATCTTCTCTCCCAATCCCAAGATGAATCTAGGGACCAAGACTCCAAAAGAACAAGAACTCTCAAATCAGCCACCAAAACATGCAAAACCCTAACCCTAAACAACTCCTAATTAATATGTATTTCCCTAATTTCAAATACCGAATTCAAATTTCCCCTCTCCTAGCCACCCCCTACTTCTTTCCCAATTGGCTAGCCTAGTGGGCCCAATAGGCTTGGGTGGCAATCCCCCAAAATGGGTTGTTTGGTCTGCCTTTTGAAGCAGAGAACCAGCCCTTGCAGGGCTGGTTTGGGTTGGCTCAGTTCAGCCTGAACTGGCCTAACAATACCGCCCTTTCCCCCACCTCAAATTGGATATCCCTCCTCTCCCCATCAACAAGTTTCTTCATAATCTGCTAAGCCCTCAATAAATGTCAATTCTTCCAACACCATGTCCCTTTCCTCCAAATACTCCTCTATGGATGAAACAGGGGTTCTTTTATGCCCAAAATGTACCAAATGAGGAGGATCCCTTCCATACAATACCATGAATGGGGTCATATGAGAAGCAGAATGATATTAAGTGTTGTACTAATACTCCGCCCATGCCAATCACCTTGCCCACTGCTTGGGTGTCTCCGACACAAAGCATCGTAGGTATATTTCCAAGCTTCTGTTGACCATTACTATCTGTACATTTGTCTGTGGGTACTAAGCAGTGCTCCTCTTTAGTGTTGTCCCCTGTAGCCTGAATAACTCTCTCCAAAAATGGCTGAGAACCTTATCCCGATCTAATACTATGGATTCTGGTATCCCATACAATCGGACCACCTCCCTGATAAAAGCTAATGCCACTGTCACGACAATGTAGGGATGTCATATGTGAATTAAATAAGCATACTTGCTCAATCTATCCACTACCACCAAGAAAACTGTGAAACCCTCTGATATGGGTAATTCATCTATAAAATCCATGGATACCTCCTCCTACACTCGTCTTGGTAAAGCTAAAGGCTGTAGCAATCCTCCTGGGAACATGATCATGTACTTATTTCTCTGACATATCTCACATATGGATATCATCTCCTCCACATCCTTGTGCATTCCCTTCCACCACAGTTCTGAGGCAAGTCTCCTGTATGTCTTGTACACCCCTGAATGACCCCCAATTGCGCTCCCATAAAATTCCTAGAGTATATGCAGAATGTGGAGTGATCTCCTAGGCAGCACAAACCTTCCCTAATACAATAGCCTCTCCCCATCTAGAGAATACCCTAGATGGCTATTCTCTTCCTTCAACAAATTCAACCTAATCCTCCCCAACTCCTCATCCAGTGCACTCTCCTCCTTGATGGCCTCCTAGTCAAGCATCAATGAAACTGATAATGTTATCACCTGTAACTCCCCCGTACATCTGGACTGTGCATCTGCTTCCTTGTTCTCCATACCTGGCCCATACTGTATTTCAAAATCAAATCCCAGGAGCTTGAACAATCATCTTTGATGCTCCTCAGTCACCATCCTCTGTTCCAGCAAGTACTTCAGACTCCGTTGATCTGTCCTAATGATGAAGTTCCTGCCTCTCAAGTAGGGTCGCCACTTCTGGATGGCTAACATAATGGCCATCAACTCTCTCTCATATATTGATTTCAATCTGGCCCTAGCTGTCAATACCTGGCTGAGATAAGCAATGGGTCATCGACCCAGCATGAGTACTGCTCCCAATCCATATCCTGAGGCATCTGTCTCCACTATGAAAACTTGAGTGAAATCAGGTAGTGTCAAAAGCAGTATAGTGGTCATGGTCTTCTTCAAGCTCTCAAAATCAGATGCGGGCACCTCTCCCCATAAGAACCCATTCTTCTTCAACTATTCAGTTAGTGACCATACTATGGTGTTGTACCCCTTCACAAACCTCCTGCTATATCTTATTAATTCCAGGAATCCCCTAAACTCCTTCAGATTTTTAGGCACTGGACACCTTAACATAACCTCAATTTTAGCTTGATCTGCTGTCATCCCTTCTTTAGAGACAATGTGCCCCAAGTAACACTAGCCAGGGTATAGCAACATTTCTTCAGATTTGACTTCAGTTGATGCTTATGTAGCTATTGCAGTACCCTCCTCAAGTGCTCCCAGTGATCCTTTTTTGTCCTGTTATAGATAAGGATGTCGTCAAAGAACACCAACACAAACCACCTGAGGTAAGGCCTGAAGACCTTGTTCATTAGGGAGTGAAAAGTGGTTGGGGTATTAGTGAGGTCAAATGGCATCACTAGGAACTCATAATGCCTTTCATGAGTTCGGAAGGCAGTCTTTGGCAACATATGATTATAAAAAGTCATTCATGATATTTATAATAAGTATTTTTTACAGCAGCGTGTAATCAAAAGTTTCGATAGATTTAACATAGAATTTACCGCTTCAATGGAGACATCAATCAAATCAAGTGCTTGGGACATTTGAATCATCCCTAGTTCACCAACAGGAGATGGAGCACCTCTGCCACCAATAATTTTGGGAGCAATAAATGCATAAACCTACATCAAGCATGAATAGAATGTAACATTACTAGAAGCATGCAAAAATACAATAATAAGATCAGCTATTTTGCATATAAACAACAAAAATATACACATCTACAAAAGAAAAATCAGCCTCGATTGAAAGAGGAAGAGAATGAACTCCATGTAGACAACTTGAGTTTTAGAAGCACTCAATTGGCCTCATAAATAATCAGATTTCATTCATCATCAATCGCTAATAATTCATTTACACAACGTGTGTTCCTGCTTATAAAAATAGAGCCATAAGGATAAGACCAAATATTTTATAGTAAATCTAGTCACCCAATTCTAAAAAACACTCAAATCAAAATTCCCACGCTCATCCATTAAACTAAGTACACCAATGAGTTGTTTAAGATGTTTGGCAAGAAGAGGTTCAAGTATATTAATAATATTACAATCTCCTATACTAAGGTCGACTTAGATAAATCATGAAAACTAGTAGAGAATGAGTTATAAAGGAGAATGATAGGTTCACTTTTATACCTTATTCCAAGCTGTCTTGATATTATATTTGATGTAAGCACTTATGCTCATTCCATGGGTAATCCAAAGAAATCTCATTTAACTATAATAAAGGGTATAGCTCTTTATTTGATAGGAACCCCTACATTAGGCCTGCTGTATTGTGGAAATTTATTGTCTTGTGACCTAGTTGTATATTCCAAGGAAACTATATGGGTTACAAAGTCAATCCGGAATGCACAAAAGGCACATGTTAGTTTTTGAATCATTACTCATGTCTTGGTCCAGTAGAAAGCAGAACTATGTAGATTTCTCCATTGTATAAGCGAACTATATCCTTGCATATAATTGCATCGCACATGTGCTTTGATTAAAAGTAATAATTAGAATTTTATGAAATTAATCAAGAAAAGTTTTGATAGTGTAATAACAATCATGTTATCAATTTAACAAGAAATCATGATCAACATTCATGGACCAAATAGATCGAGATTTAGACATTATGTCAATCGACATCATGTTGCCCACAATAATGTTGAAATCAAATTTGTTGGCGCAAAATTTTAGAATGCAGATATTTCTACTAAACCTATGGATAAAGATAGATTTTATGTTTCCAAAAGGGAAGAGAATGAAAAGTTAGAAGTTCGAAATTTATTTACTAGTTTATAATGTACATATTAAGGTAAAGCTACCCACAATTTGTTATCTTCATTATTGTTTAATAAAAGGGGAGTCATCATTAAAAAAAGAAAGATTATTGACCCCATGAGCCCATGATGAAGCATGTTACTTTGAGGATAACAAACATATATATGGAGATACTTATATTTTGAATCAAGTGATTACATGATTGATAAAATGCATGATTTATGATGTTTAAACTAATCAAAATTTGAGATATAATCTAGTTACCACAAATAAAAGTTGACATGGTGGAATAATTTGAGTTTAAGCAAAATTAAAGCCATGCTATTAAGTCTTTTTTTTTTCTGAAAACTATCAGCTTTTTTTCCCAGAAGGAATTCGCCTGACCACGACAAAGAATAGGTACCCCAACCACAGGCAGAGTTTGTGAGCCATGTAATAGGCAACCATTTCGTGCGGTTCAAGGGGCACTTGACTCAGCCGCCTTAGCCCGATAGCGTCTTGACCCCATCCAATTTTTGGGCCAATTCCCCCCCTTCGATTTTCTTTTTAAGCATGTAATTGCTAACATATCTAACTTCTTGGCCCTAAATTGTTTGCCTAAATTTTAAATATTTTTTATAATAATTATTAAATATTATATTATATTTAGTTATCACTCCATTTGAACCTACATGTTAATATATAGGATAATAAAATAAATTAGAAAGTTATTTATTATTTCAATCCATATTATAAAATTGATTTGGTTAATGAGACATCGAAAATCAGTTAGCATATCTCCATTTAGTGACAAGTCATGCCAAATTTGTTTAAAGACTATCATTAAGTCATTAATGATTAGTCGTGCTCTAGGAATTGAACTGGAGAAGAAAATATGAAAGCACTGAAAATTTTTAAAAAAAAGGAAACTGTACATATCATTTAATGTCACAAAAATTTTCAGGAAAAAAAGAAGAAAGGACATTCTAGTTTCATTTTAATTGACTAAGTACATAGGTATGAAATTTAAGGATGAATATCCTAGCTCATATTAGTTAGCAATGCCTCTTATTATTGGCTTTCAAAATCATGAACATTAGCTTTGAAATTAATTTAATATATCATAAAATAACATGTATCAAATTATTTTTCTCCTTTTGCTAACTAAAACTGCTTATGATACTAATTATTTTCATTTCGTTATGATATTTAATCCTATCTATTTGCTGTTTTCATCATTTAAATTAAGCACAAAGTTCAAATAGCATTTTATTTCAGGATGTTATATGATGTTTTAATAAGATACATCCTTGAAGAAATATTTGTACTATTTAATGAAAATTTTGTTGCAATATACAAAGACTAGCCATTGCTCTTTGCAATGTTAAATTCACTTAGTAAATACTTTTTTTGCCCAAGAACAAAACCGATGAGAAAAAAAAATGGCCTGTAGCCTCAAAATAGTTGGTCCTAATAAAAATGTATTCATTTTACGTGGACCTTGTAGTTTTATAAACATTATAAAATCAAGCAAAAACAACATCAAGCCTTTATCCCACTACATGGGGTCGGCTACATGAATCCTTTTTCTCCATTGTGTCCTATTAAAAGTCAAATTCTCGTTTAAATCTAATAAAGAAAGGTCATTCCTAATATTTTATAACCAAGTCTTTTTAGGTCTACCCCTACCTTTCTTAACATAAGTCAAATCTAATACCTCTACTCTCCTAACCGGGTCATCGCAAGGCCGCCGTTTTATGTGACCAAACCATCTAAGGCGACTTTCTCTAATCTTATCTTCTACTGGAGCTACTCCAACATTATAAAATCAAGTGTGGGACTAAAAACACTAGCCTTGCCAAAAACAGCTTTTGCTGAAAAATACATAAAAAAAATTGCATGCAAGAAAGAGATCTGTATAATGATATGCATTCGTCAGGTTGGATTGTACTTAGCTTGGAAGAGAGTCTTGCACAACAAGGGACCGATGCAATTAAAAGAACAGCAACAAAACTAAGGATTTTTATTGGAAAGCCCCTTTGAACCTCAAGCCAGAGATTATGAAAGAACACCTAGTTCCTTAAACCAATGACGAGACCCATAAACAAGTTAATTGCCTGGTCTTGGGAATGGAAGCAATGGCCTTCTGGATTGATGAGAGCACTCATAAAAATCTGAGAAAACTCTAGTGGTCCAAGGTAGAAGGAATGTTTCAGCTCTCAAAGAATGAAACAGAATGAATGAAATCGACTGACTTTAGGTTCTATCCCTAAACTTGGATATGAATGAATATGAATAACCAAAATATTTTTTATGTTTTTTTGGAACACAGGTAAGAACCGGATGGAGCGGTTCAATCGAAGCAATATTTTCTCCAGCAGGCACAGGCATAACAAAAATGGTATTATAGACCATATAAGATATAAATTGTATTGAAAGAGCCATTAGGTTAATTATTAAGTCTAAGAAAGTTGACCTGATGTAAAATTAAGAATTTTAATGAGATATTTTACTTTATTTCAGCACTCAGAATGATCTGAAGAGGATATGGAAAGGGTTGTGCCAAGTGTTACTGTTAATACTGATGCACTAGCCCAAATGATGACAACAATGACTTAATTGATTCAGGATTCAATATCTCAACTATCAAGAAGCAGCAATAGCAGTAGCATGTCAATGGATAAATATTTAAAATTATTTTAGGTTATGAGACCATCATTATTTAAAGGAGTAGAATGACCAATTGAGACAAAAAATTGATTATTAAGAATTGAAAAGGTATTAGAAGGTATGTTATGTAGAGAGGAAACAAAGGTTTCATTAGTAATATTTGCACTTGATGGCGAGGCTAAAAGGTGGTGGAGGGGACAGCCCCAAGATAAATTTGGAGGGATAAGTTTGAAATCATTTGATGGCGAAGCTAAAGCAGGCGGTGGAGGGGACAACACCAAAATACAATATGAAGCTAAATTCAAATTATTATCAACATAATACTAAGAATTATCTTACTCTTGGACAAAGACCATAAGAAGAATCAAGGATAAATGTTGAATCATATCAAATAAATATTGACAGACAGAGGATACTAGAATTAGCTGCATTAACTCTAGGGCCAAATTAAAGTTGACCTAACACGCAGCCTAAAGTGTATGTCTTATCTCAGCAGGATGCATAGGATTCGCTTAAAGTAATTACACATATGTTTTCATTTAATGTAGGGATTTTATTTTTTAATTTACTTGCTATGAGTAACTAAATAAGTACCAAAATTGTTAAGCAAATAATATATATTATTATGTTAATTATTATAAATCTTTTATAGATATGATAACAAATCAAGATAGCTCTATATAAATAAAACAAATCAAACATGAACACACAGAAAAAAAAAAGATAGCTCTATATAAATTATCTTTAATACGCGAGCCTCGGATTCCTTCATTTCAGAAGAATTTGTAAAACCAATTGGATTGAATATATTTAAAAAACCCACAATATAAGATTTTGATGCTAAATGGGTTCAAAATGAATGTTAACAATTATTGTTAAATTGATTTCAAAATAAATGAGAGGAAATTTGAAGCAACTTTGAATGTGTTACCATTACATGAATTTGATGTGATCTTAATAATGGATTGAATCTCAAATCATTTTGTTATTATAGGCTGCAATAAGAAGATTGATAAATTTAAATTTCTGAGTGAAAGAATATAAATTTTATGAAGATAGATGACTTACTTTAATGGTAATCCTATATAAAAGCTTGCAAATTATTATCCAAGGGATATCAATATTTTTTTTACTCATGTAAGGGATACAATTAAAGAAGTGAAGGAGCTGAAAAAAACATACATGTAGTGAAAGAATATCAAGAAGTA